GGCCCATGGAATATCAGCATGGGATACTCCATTAACCATGCTCACTAAATTGACCTCGGTGTTAGACCCTCCACAGTTTCACCGAAGCTCATCGAGAATACGCGTGATAACGTCTGAGCTGAACTGGCATATTTATCTCACAACTGTAAACATCCAGCATTTTTCTTGAATTAAGATAATTTAGCGGTGAATAGGATTACTGTCAATCTCAGAATTAAAACGAAATATGCCTATTTACATAAGTGAGGAGCTAAGGCTTATCATTTATTTACTTTTACCATTATTTAGAACCCTGAAAGGATTAGCGGTTTAATGAGTCTGGGCTTTCGTGATAGAAATGAAACTTATCATTTGCTGAAGACTTGATTGAATTTATGCAATCGACTGCTATTAAGTAAGCTGGATATATATCGAAATAATGTGCACGTACCTTTGTTTGTACTACTACGACATACTACAATTTGTAAGTAGGAACGCTCTAGTGTCAATGCTGCGTAACGAAATTGACGACTTTTGCGTTCTGGCGCGCCTTATCGGCCCTTATCAATCGTTATCAGTTTCTGGCACCCACCAACAATGTCCCCGTCCCACCCCACATAACACTTGTAAGTATGGTTGCTCTGGTGTCAACGCGAGCCAGGCAACGGAATCGACGACTTCAGCGTTCTGGCGCGCCTTATCGGCCCTTATCAATCGTTATCAGTTTCTGGCACCCACCAACAATGTCCCCGTCCCACCCCACATAACACTTGTAAGTATGGTTGCTCTGGTGTCAAACGCGAGCCAGGCAACGGAATCGACGACTTCAGCGTTCTGGCGCGCCTTATCGGCCCTTATCAATCGTTATCAGTTTCTGGCACCCACCAACAATGTCCCCGTCCCACCCCACATAACACTTGTAAGTATGGTTGCTCTGGTGTCAACGCGAGCCAGGCAACGGAATCGACGACTTCAGCGTTCTGGCGCGCCTTATCGGCCCTTATCAATCGTTATCAGTTTCTGGCACCCACCAACAATGTCCCCGTCCCACCCCACATAACACTTGTAAGTATGGTTGCTCTGGTGTCAACGCGAGCCAGGCAACGGAATCGACGACTTTTGCGTTCTAGCGCATCTTATCAGCCATTATCAGTTGCTATCGCTTCCAATCATGTACCACATGTCCCGGGACCGCCCCACATAAGACTTGTAAGTATAGACGCTCTCTCTTACCAATATGAACGGCAAAACGAAATTGGCGATGCTCGCTTTCTAGCCCCTCTTATCAGCTATTATCAGTCGTTATCAGTTCCTATCACGTACCACTTGTGTCCCCATCCCACCCCTATAACATATGTAAGAACCACTGCGCTATCATTACTGTGACTCGAGCTATGAATTTCCGTTCAAGTCCACTACCACAGTTTCACTGCAACGCACATAATCACGACGGAAACTACCGGCAGTCCATAACGCCATCTCCGCGCAAGACCCACTGAGCTCAGGTTCATCATTTTGATCAATCTCTAGTCCTGGTATAGCATACATTCTTACGATGCTATACTATTTATCATTATACGGTCGTCATAACGATCAACGCTTACGATCGAGTCACGGAAGCGGTCAGAAACAACTACTCCGACCCCTCTGGTGGTTCTAGGACCGCCACAAAGAACGGCTTTGAAGCCGCGGCCAATGTCCCTCGACTTGCAGCAGGACCACCTCGTTTCCTGCACGGCACAGAAATCAATTCGTCGGCGCTCTAGAGCTTCTGCTAACTCGTACGAGCGGCCCGTCAACGTGCCAACATTTAACGTCGCAACGCGAGTCTTCCATACGTTGCAGGACTTTGGACTAGCCTAGTTGCCCCCCGACGCCGTCCTTGCATCGGAGACCGCATTGCTGGCAAATAGCCATGTATTTGCAAGCATGCATGGCTATTTGCCAGCAGTTGCAATTGGAGCGCATGTACTACGGGCAGGTTCGGACAACTCGTCCAACACACGTCTCCCTAAACGGCAGGGGGAGTCCCTGTCTAAGCCCCTGCCCGACGTTTTTTTCTACTTTTTCTTTCTCCATTGACCAACTTCTCACCTGCAACGTCATTATAGGTGGTCCTTACCCGCGAATTCGTTCCTGGATTGTTGCTTTAATGCAAACTCTCCGACGATAAAGAAGGCTATAGTAGGAGGACGCACGGAAGGTGTAGTGGCAAGTGGCACGCTTACCACGCGAGCGGTCCGGGGATCAAATCCTGGGTCGTGAGTCGCCCGGGCCAACCAAGCCTTCCATCCCTCCGGGGTCGGTTAATTGGTACCAGACTTGTCTGGGAGGATAAAAACACTGACTTGTACATCGGCTGGCCCCCGCAAGTCATTGTATAGGCCACATCGCATTCACTACGAATGTACAAATGGAAGTAGAATGCGTGCCGCATCCCAAAAAGGGATTGATCAACGGCAAATGCTTTATCCTTGTCCTTATAGTAGGAGGATCCGTATAACCCCTAAGGATAAATTGAGCGAACCATTCCACGCGTTCAGCCTGCGTCTGCTCTAGGACATAAAACATAAAAAAGAAACTTTCTAGCAAAACCACTGATTAGATGTGATCGCTCCCTCCGCAAGAAAGCTGGGACGATGAATCAAGAAGAGGTAAGCTTGTTTATGTGATCCGTGACCTTGCCATCCACAAGCTTAGGAACCCCGGGACCTCCTCAATCGCAAACGAAGGGATAGCTCCTTACGCGTTCGCAAAACCCGCAAGCACACCCTGCCTCAGCAATCCAACACATGGGGCAATAAATGCTTTGAATATCGTCCTGGTTTCTAAGCCAGATACGACCGGAAACGTATACTTTCGCCCCCTCCCCCCTTTAGCACATCGGATCACAAACGCGTATGTTTCAACATCTCTTGTTTACCAACCCTTTTACAAGAGACGTTGAGATTGTACAGATGTTATTCAAGAGGGAACTATGACGCTATGATTTCCACGCTCTTCCACCCTGACTGGACCGAAACCTCAATCACCACTAATATGTTGTTCTATTCGAAACTCTTAAAAGTCTGTCACCACTTAATTGAAGAATATGTGTACCGCTTTCCATGCGGAAGAGTAAATCAGTCAAATATCCCAAGCGCGTAAAAATTCTAATTGCTAAAATTAGGCATCATCACGCAACCTCTGTTGAATTTCAACTCAAAAGGTGCAACATATGCTCGAAAATTGAAAGCGTCTACTTCTTCGTCATCAGTTGAAGGAAGAAGCGAAAATAGCGCAACATAGAAAACACCGAACAATTCTACTCTTACTGCCAGAAAATGCTTAAAAAATCTGATGACATTCCAAATTCGATTTCTCCAAACGATACTGTAGTTTAAGATGATCTCGCTAAGGCAAATCTCTTCGCCAACTATTTCCAAACTGTTTATAAAAACCCGCGTGCTTCTGACGCTAGCCTACCTCGTCTGTCGTCTGATTTCTCTAGATTGGGTAGACATATCAAGTGAAGTTGTTTATAAACGCTACGAAAACTCCCAACAGGGTATCTCCCCCCTGACGGAATCCCACATATTTTCGTGGAGGAAGCAGAGAGTCCTGCTTCACGGTCATGTACGTGGTATATGGAAAGTGGGCCTTGTCAAAACGATCTTCAAGAAAGGTTCTAAGAACAACGCTACCAATTACAGACCTAACTGTTTGGTACCTATTAGCAAAGTCATAAGACGTATTCTTAGCCAAAAAATCAGTAGTTTTTTAATGGAAAGAAAATTACTTAACAATAGTCAACATCCCACCTTTGAACACAAGATCTATTTCCTATCAAAAAGAAAATTTGGAAAAAACTGCAAATTTGAGGGCGACTGACACCACTCAACGTGATATTATCATCACATACCCGTTTGAAAGCTGTAAAACAGACCATTCTGACAAGGTCAACCTTGCGCCCAGCGAAGCAGCACAGCTCAAGACTCGTCAACAAACAGAAGAAGTTTTGAAGTCGAGCCATCAAGTAACGGAGAAATTCTGGACAACATGGAGAAATGAGTACCTCACCAGCCTCCGTGAAAAACACAAACTTTCAATCAACAACAAAAGCGGAAATCGGAGAATATCATCTCGAAATACGGTTGTACTCATTTGTGACTCAACATTTCCACACTTGGAAGCTAGGATATATACACGATCTATCACCATCAGTGAATTGAATCATCCGAGAAGCACAAGTCAAGTTACCAAATGGACGGATCATTCGACGAGGAGTCAATCTATTTACCCCGCTCGAGCTACAAGATGATGCAGAGACAGAAGGATCAACCATCAAAACCAACAGGAGGGGGAGGACTCAAAAGTGCAACACAATAGTCGCTACAACTTGGGACCACGACGGACCACTTGCGGGCAAAATTCAACAAGCTCGCCAGACAATACAATGAAACAAGAATACATAACCAGCTTACATGCAGCTCAATCCACATCAAGGGAAACCAATGGATCAGAAGACTCACAAAAGTCCATGATAGCAACAAAACCTACCGTGGAGTATAGAGATCCTCTCTATGATCAACCATAGCCTGTTTACAAGAATGGGAAAACTGAACCAACGAAGCAATGATATAAGTAATCCAACTTTTTGCTGTTTTGATTGGTCTATAAAGGCTTCTACAGTTGAAGTAAGGTACTTTCGTCTTCCGTCTCAATGGCAGTAGTGGAACGACTACATATGGTGCAAAAACTGAAAAAATACTGACGGACCGGGACACTGAAAGCGTGCTTTTCTTTATATAGATATACTGGCGTTTGCTGCGACAGAAGGAGCCCTGCTGAAAATGAAAAATATTCACACTTTTCAGGGGTCTCCTATGTTTTTAAAGCACGCTGCACTTTACTTTAGCTCCTTGATAATTAAAATTGTTCACTGCTGTATAACGAAGCGCTGTTATGACTAGTGTCCATTCAGCGCACAAGTAAATTATTAAACAAGTAAGTAAGTAAACATGCGAATAAATAGGTAATCAGCGTACCTTCCCTACATCCCCCAATCTGGTGAATCGCATTCGACTATTTTCCGCCAGTTGAACCTGCTCGATGAGTGCTTTTTCCATCATCGACAGAGCTTCTCCTCGGCCTAAAACCTGTTTGCATACGAGCATGTTTTGCACGTAGAAATTCTGATCAGTCTGACTAGACCATATTCGTCTTCGCCGTTCCTGTGACATCGTGCTGTGGAAGAAAGCGGCGCTGGAGAATTCTTATCATGCTTGCAACCTTTTCCGCCCGATGGCTGCCAACCAATACTTTCAAGATGCGTGACAAGGTTCAAAACATGACAAAATTGTCTAGCTTCGTTCAACATGCGTGTGGATGCAATTACACAATGGACTGCATCTTGGAGAAAATGCTACCGTCAGAGATAACTCACAAAAATAGAGCAGTACCTTCGATTCCTGTGATGCTCGTTGCAGAAGGAACAATTCGAGGCTGAAGGGTTGCCTGAGAGGTGGATGCTTGCGGAGGAATAGGAGTTGATTTGATGGAAACTGGTAGACCAGACTGAGCAGCTGCTATCATTTTGTCAAAACCCTGCAAAAAGTAAAATAAATCCCTATGTTGTAACTGTCGTGATCAACTTACATTTAAATATTGTATAACACAGAGAGGCACCAAAATTTTATTTCAAAAGAATTCCAAAAGTTGAAATGAAATAAAATTTTGGTGCCTCTCTGTGTTATACAATATTTAGGTGCTGATGAGGCTCCGGGACAGCACAATATTACGACAACTTACATTTATTTACATGATAATGATTGTCACTGAGCCGATTAATATGCAAAGGTGCTCTAATCCCTAGAAGTATGGGTTGCGACTCCAACCAAGCAAGGAAAAGGGGACTGTCCACGAATCGCCTGCTATCCCGTAAGATTGAACCAGCTCTCAACTGACGACGTTCAAACGTACGCTACTCAACTCTGTAGATTTCTCATACGATCTCTGCACCACCATTCTCCGACGGAGAAAGATCCGCTTTCAAACAAGTGAAGAGAACGAAAACAAATAATCATGTCACGCGTCTGAGCCAGAGAGAGCCCTCTAGTACGTACAGAGTCAACTGCCAAATCGTTGGAAACAATGTTGGGACTCTCCTCTCCGTTACTGGTTGGAGAATAATATCGTAGCGTTTTTCTTTTCGAGCTACGAATTCAGTGAATACAAGTATTACCCAGGAAATCACATATATCATTTGAAAGTACTTCTTCTGCTCTACAATACCTTGTTTGCATTTTCTTCTATACTGTAAGTGTACTCAGATATGGCGCTTAGAAGTTGGAGAATCAAGGTGGGCGAAAATCTATATAGAGAAAAAAGCTGCCAAAATAGGAGTTTTTCGGAATCCATCGTCATCATCGAACCTTACTCCGGTCGTCCCTTAATTTCAAATCATATTCACGTCGCAAAATTTAAGAATAATGAGGATTTTAAAAACGTTTTAGACCCGGTAATTTCTTTTCGAAATGGAACCAAAGTCGTAAATAATGACGAGAAGAACATCACTGATTAGTTTTATGCTTGGCTTTGCTTTTGGGTTTTGCTTTAAACGTTTTTGCCGAATGCGAGCGCTACGATATTATGCTCCGACCTAATATACAATACCTGAAAATACACTAGAGCCTGCAACTGTGTGCACTGTAACCCATATACACTGCGTCCCATAATTATACGTCCACCTAAGAATTTCCCAAAATCTCACAAATATAGATGTTTCGAAAAAAGTCTCCAATGTGACAATGTATCATATATAAATACGCAATTGCCTATGAACATCAATTTTCTATTTGAGATCACAGGAATTTTTTCCAATAATTTTTGTGTAAAAGGCCACTCAGCCGACGTCCCAAAATTATACGTCCACCTCACGTTTATCGATTACTTTTCACTTCTGTTCCACGAAACTTTTTCATTGTGGTAACACTTCACTTCTTAAGGGAACAGCATAATAAAAACTGCTGTTGGATTTTGAAAAGGTTAGGTTGTCGCAAAACTGTTGAACAACGCAATCGCGCCAGATTTGGACCAAATTCACGCCAAGCTCAAGAATTTCTTCAGGGGTTTCACATGATATGGAGTTTCAGAAGAGCTCTAAAGGTCTCTCATTACTTTTCGATGGAAACAAAGGCCGTGTTCACAAAGAAACATCCACTTTCATCCAACGGTGCTCTGTCATCGAATCTTCTTGAGAACTTTATGCCTCAACCAACTTTTGTTTCATGCATGTAAAGGAATCCCAAGATCATTCTTGATCGGAAAATGTGAAAGGCGTTCATTTGTGGCAAGGAATCGTGGCGAAAACTGGGCTGATTTTTGCATGAAGGTGCAGCCGAGCCGACTGGAGCAGGGTCCTTTTTTCCTTGCTATGCATGAGTGTTTGTCTGTCTTTCTTTTCAACATTTTCTTTCTTTTAGTAGTGCTTCACTAAGAAAAAAGCCATTAAGGGAAAGGTAAACGTGAGAAGAGAAACAAACAAATGCCAAAACATATCGGGCAGAAGCGAACCTTACTTCAGTCGGCTCGGCTGCACCTTCATGCAAAAATCAGCCCAGTTTTCGCCACGATTCCTTGCCACAAATGAATGCCTTTCACATTTCCTAATCAAGAATGATCTTGGGATTCCTTTCACACGCATGAAACAAAAGTTGTTGAGGCATAAAGTTCTCAAGAAGATTCGATGACAGAGCACCGTTGGATGAAAGTGGATGTTTCTTTTGTGACACGGCCTTTGTTTCCATCGAAAAGTAATGAGAGACTTTTAGAGCTCTTCTAAACTCCATATCATGTGAAACCCCTGAAGAAATTCTTGAGCTTGGCGTGAATTTGGTCCAAATCTGGCGCGATTGCGTTGTTCAACAGTTTTTGCGACAACCTAACCTTTTCAAAATCCAACAGCAGTCTTTATTATGCTGTTCCCTTAAGAAGTGAAGTGTTACCACAATGAAAAAGTTTCGTGGAACAGAAGTGAAAAGTAATCGATAAACGTGAGGTGGACGTATAATTTTGGGACGTCGGCTGAGTGGCCTTTTACACAAAAATTATTGGGAAAAAATTCCTGTGATCTCAAATAGAAAATTGATGTTCATAGGCAATTCCGTATTTATATATGATACATTGTCACATTGGAGACTTTTTTCAAAACATCTATATTTCTGAGATTTTGGGAAATTCTTAGGTGGACGTATAATTATGGGACGCAGTGTATTTATAACATTTTCAGCTTGTTGAAGAAAGGTAAAGAGTACAAAGAGTGAAAAATAGTTCTTTAAGGCTGATGTCAGAGTCCGCGATCCTTTGCGCGATTTGCGCGATTTTCGCGATTTGCGCGATTTTCGCGATTTGCGCGATTTTCGCGAAACCTGCGATGGATCACAGGAGTTGGAAGTGCCCGATGAATACTGCGAGGTGTTGTTTAATCCTGCTGCGAATTCTGCTTGGCAGTAAAGATTGGAAGACGAATGTTTGTGGTTCTACTTGTTTCATGTTCAATGTCTATTAGTTCATTGAAATGCTCTTGAATCGTTCCTATTTTTTTTTCAGGAATCAAACCAAACCAATCACAAAAATTGCAAGTGCCCCATTTGAACAATTGAAACACTGGATATGAAACAAGTGGAATCATGAGCAGTCTCCATTAAACCATAACCATCAAGCAGAAGTGGACGGCGGGATTGGAGAACACCTTGCAGTATTGATCGGGCACTTGTGATTTCCGTGACCCGTCGCGTGAATCGCGAAAATCGCGCAAATCGCGAAAATCGCGCAAAGGATCGCGGACTCTGACATCAGCCAAACGAGGGAAAAATGAATTGTGAAATTGAAAAAATACTCTTGAAAACAACACCGCACAGTGAACGCAAGCTGCTAAAATGAAATCCGATATAAACCGAAAATACGAATCAAAAAGCACCTACCTTGGATTCCAGTAAATATTTTTTTGCCATTTCCATGTTTCCTTTAGCCTTTGCTTGCATAGCCGCATGTCTGAACTCGTTCTGGCGCTTTATGAGAAACTCCAGTTGCGTCGCATTCCTTGATTTTCCAGCCTGTCCTGATGGAGCCAATGGTCCAACAGCGGGCGGTGGTCGTACTGAAACAAGCATTTCAATCTAGAAAAGTATTAAGTCAAGGAATGTTAACTTCGAACAAAAAAGTTCATTGACCTCCCGGCACTGGTCCGATCGGGGCAGCTGCTTGTGGATTTTGTGGAGGTAATGGTGGCATATCAGGAAGCGAGGGAAGGTCTGCAACAATTACAGGACGTCCTGCCTTAGCGTCCCGGATTGCGGCAGCGTACTGCTCGGCCATTCGTCTATTCATTCTAGAATTTTTAATAAATACTGGTATCAGTCTTCGTGATTCCGCTGCGTTTGGTGTTAGATGGTAGATTCAGATGAATATCCTTATATTTTATAAAGCCGCTAACTTGGTGTGTCGGTTTGTATATACATATGTATGTATGTATTGTGTATGTATGTATGTCTGTCTGTCCGTCCGCAAAATGAAGTGAGTGATAAGGAAGCTCATGGAATAAACAACCGCTAACAAATCGGGTAGCTACAGGATTTGAGATATCAATGTTTTGTAGCAGGATAATTGTGATAACACTCCTACGGCTATATAAACACCTGCTTAGCACACTTCCGGTCATTCCACATGGTGCTGCAGTGGCAGCTGGAGGCAGTGGAGGGAGGAGGGAGGCGGAAAACCAATCACCAACAGACCTAAGGTGCAGTTAGGTATTGATATGTCATTCTACCGTCATGTCATGATTATGGCGATGCCCTCTACTATATGAAACTCCTTTTTGTTGCATACGCGTCACCTCCACGAGGTGTTGGTGTCACAGGAGGAAGGGACCATAGCGGAGGATAGAAAGCTTGCGCAGGAAAGGAAGGTCCCTGGCGGTTGAGGGACCAATCTAGTTGTGGATAAAACAAGAATGAATCAGCAGAAATAAATCAATAAATGATTTATAATAATGAGAATTCAAATAGAAAGATTTCCATCATTAGTGACCTAGCCTTCCTTTCATTGCCTTCTCGAGCTGCCTTCTTGCCTAACGACTGGAATCTTTCCATTCGAGTCTGAAGCCCATCAAGGAAAGTTGCGGGTTTCTCAACTTTTCTGTAAGGCGGTGGAGATGGAGGAACATCGGCCAAGTCAAGTTCATCGGCACTGGCAGTGTCTAGGGCTGCTAACGCCTGAACAATAGTCTCTTTCAGAAATACTACTACACTGCGCTATAATAATACCACAGATATATCACAGCCACTGGTTTACAACTTTTTGAGATCTACAAAATGTAAAAAAAAATACCTGATCAAACATTTTCGCTATTTCGACGTACTGCTTTGCAGCTGACTTGTCCATTGCTGCAACTGCTGCCTGCAACGCATTACATGCACTCAATAACATAAGAATACACAACAGGCACCTACTCATTCTCCTCACTAATACTGTAGAATGGAAAGGAAGTTCTGAACCATAACACACCAAAATTGAAATCTATTTTTTTTATTTTATCTATTCTGAGATCCCCATCAAATTGGCCATCAGAGTCAGCAACAATACTCCAACCTCCAAGCAACAGTTCACCACATTTGAAGGAATTAGAGGAATTTTCGTCGAAAAAGCTTCGGGAGTCGGATTCGCGGTTCTTTTAGTTGTTAAGCTTTTTGCTCTCCAGGTGATGAGCAAGTGAGATGAAAGGCGTGTATGGAGAGGTTTTGCGACTATGTCCTATGGGCAACCACAGCCCAGCATAGTCGAAAATCTTTCGAGGTGAGACAGAATACACGCGGGACGAGTGCCGTCGTGAAGGAAAGTGAGTTGTCGCTGTTTTTCGGAAAGTTTTTTTTTTCGCAATAGTTTCGACCACCTAGCAGTGGTGAGCGCCTGTCATCATCGATCCAGCAAGCAGAACATCATCCTACCGTCACTATTCCAGAAAATTAGACAGCATCATCATTTTCCCATAAACGTCAGATCGACGCATTGAAACTCTAGTTTCGCATACTCTGAGCCCTTGGTGATTCCGCGAATGGTTGACAAAGCAGATCCACTTGTTTTCGCCAGTGGCCATCCCGCAGTCTACCGCTTCTGCAGAGCGAGATGCGCAGATGTCCAGCCGGTGAAATCGTGCGGTACTGTCTGATCACATTTCTCCTCAAATCATCCTCGGTTACAGCGCGGACGACGTCAAGACGGACAGTAGTCGTGTATTATGTAGTCGCCACGGGCGAGATCTTGTCCTAGTCCATCACGGCTTGGTTCTGCGCATTTCTCGTGGGCCGATGCGAGGTTCACACAGAATGAGCGCTAGGACGAACTCGCGGCAAAGTTGATTTTGTGCAAACACAAAAAACGCGAACGCAAACGATGCTAACGCAATTAGGGAAGCAGCTGATTACAGCACCGTACGCAGCACAGTACACTCCTTTTATATACCACCCATGGACAATTCCAAAGCACGGTAGAAACTCAGAAACACCGCAAACTATATGGTTCGAAACTTTCTTCCCAACTTAAAATCCGCTTCGCCTGTCTGTCACAGTGTCTGTCAGTCCCATTTCCTGGAGATTCCTCCAGAGACCGGATTCAAAGAGAAAAAGAAAAGTGAGGGATGAGCGGGCCATCTTCCAAGTAGCATAAAGCTAAGCATCATGGGAGCATGGCGCAAAGTAGGCGTGGCATGCATAGAAGTGAGGGGCCATGACGAAGAAAATTTCAAATTTGGACCTATAACAACCAAGGGACCGGGAAAAATGAGCAAATGTGTGCATTAAAGGGGAGATCCGCCTCCGGTGAGCAGTGCATTCTCCAGACTGACGGTGCTTAAAGGCACGCTCCGCGATTAGGCGCGCTCGCCTGTTCCATCCGGGGGTAGTAGGCAGGCGGACAAGTGTTGATGTCGCGCCCCTTTTGCCGCTTGAAAGTGCGCGACAAAGGCGCAAGGAGCTCGTCCAACCCGCAACTCACACCTTCGTCCGCAAGCCCCACCCTCCGCTGTCGGTTGCCACGTGGCGCTGCTTGAAAAGCGCGGGCGCATTTGAGGCAGCGGTCCCATCGCGATCCAATGTCATTGGCACTGGAGCAACTAGAGTTAGGTTCGTGAAACTCGTCCAACGCGCCTCTTCTCTATCCCAAGGTGGAATGTGGCTGAAATAGGGGAGGTCTCTGTACGGGGCGTAATCGGTGGTTTCGTTTGCTTTCCTTCTCTTTTACAGACCACCTCCCACCTCTAGCTTCATAACTGAACGCTTTTCCACACCTATTTTATCCCGAATCTTGCCTTTAACGAAAAATTCATAAACCGGCTAGGAGAAAGCCTAGAGAGAAGAACAAAAATTGGTGTAGAGACATTTCGTTCAAGGCACAGCACATATTACGTGAGCGGAGGACAGCCCGCAATGGACGGAGGTTCCCGTCAAGAGGATGGCGTTTCTTACAAGTCATCATAATTCGGCTTCGAGAAGTCGTAGAGACCGGAAATGACGTAGAAGAGGATAGAGAAGGAGAAGAGGTTTGATGTTGATGGTGGGCGTGCATATCTGGAGGTGGGCGAGGTTTGCCACCAAGTTTATAACTTGGTTTCAGAAAAAGGTGATCGGTAAAAAAACGGATAGATTGGCAAAGGGAAGGAGAACAACTGCTACTGGTGGTGGGAGCATGCACCGAAGTAGGCGAAGTTTCCCGCGAAACTTTACAAATCAGTTTAGAAACAAAGTTGAATAGGGAAAGTGGACAATGGTTGGCAAAGAAAGAGAGATCAAAACCCCTCAGCAGATGTGGCAAGGTGTGGTTTAGGCCGATGTCATAGTTTGCGAATCGAGCGATTCGCTAGCGAATCGCTCGATTCGCAAACTATGACATCGGCCTTACTTGGACAGAAAGCGCGAAACACGAAAATGTCGCTTTCTGTTATAGTGATCCACACCCGATGAGGCATTCACTGCGGTAGGCAGAGTTCGCCACGGAACTTCAGAATTCGCATAAGAGACAGTACAGAATTTGTGAAAAAAAGCGATTAGAGGCCGACGAAGGAAAGCGGGTCAGTTGCTATTGGTGGGGGAAACATGCAGCGTGATAAGCGGAGCTAACTGCAAAGTCGCAACATGGTCCAGAAATAGCATGGAGACCGAGAAGAAAGCGGATAGAGTTAGCGCGCAACAGCGTGCGGGGCTTACCTAGTACTTTAAGATAGCAACAAAGGCTCTTCCTCTTTCTTCATACTTTGGGGTGCGACCGAATCGGTGGTACCCGCGAGCTGTGCGGGTAAATTTGAAAACGCACTCATGGTGCCCTGTGCTGAGCGTTTTCAAATTTACCTGCACAGTTTCGCAGGCACTATCAACTTGGCCGCCTCGCCACGGCCGCGAAGAAAGTGGGGAGGGGAAGGATGAGCTAGCAACAAATTAAAGCGAGGGATTACGATAAGTTTGGACTGGGTTCATAGTGGAAGTGGAGATGCTGAATAATGCCCCAGTGGCGAAAAAAGCAAAGAAATCCGTCAAGAAGGCGCAAAATGGGACCCCTTTCTTTGCCCGTTGACCTCCGATAATGGACGAGCTAGCAACCAATTAGGAGGTCGTTTGCACATGTTATGCTGATAGCCTCTATCATTTCAGCAAGCATCATGCTTTGATTGATCACGCATCCCATGAAAAGTTATAGGATACACTCTGGAAGTGGAATATCTCGTCACATTGGCAATCGAAGGGCGCTGCTGCTGGGGGCGGAGCACAGACCGTGGCGGGGCTCAGAAAGGAATGGCAAGCCTTGTACGCTGCAACTAGCGCACCTTTGACCACAAAAACGCAACATTTCGTTTCCTTGGGCCCCTGACTACTGCTTCCAATGGTGCATGTACTTCCACGCTGCATACGCACTTTATCGTAATCTCTCGCTTTAAAGACAAAGTTACGGTAATGAACTACAGCGTGTCCCATAAATATTGCACCAAAGTTTTTACTTCATAACTTCTTTAAAAATGCAGCTATATTTACACGACTATACACAATTATTATACAAACAATGACATATTACAAACAATATCATTCATTCAATATGTCCCCCGTTTGCCGCAATTACCGCTCTTAGACGCTTCGGATATGCTTCCACTGCGGCCCGCAAGGTTTCCTGGGGTATCTCCTCCCACGCTTTAGACAAGGACGACTTCAACTCCTCCAGGTTTCTGTGTTGTTTAAAGCAAGCCTTCTCCTCTAAAATGGACCAGATAGAATAGTCCAGCACGTTGAGATCGGGCGAGCAAGCGGGCCATTCCGTCGAAGGTATGAAATCAGGGAGCATGGCGCGGCACCAGTCCTGAACACTTTTCGCCCTGTGTGCGGGAGCGGAGTCCTGCTGGAAAGTCCATCTCTCTCCCACGAAGTGGCCATTGGCCCATGGCAGCAGATGCTTCTGGAGAACTTCCGTTAGGTATGCGCTAGCATTGAGTTTTGTTCCTTTTTCGACGAACACCAGTGGGGTGCGCCCGGTGGCGGACACCCCAGCCCAGACCATAACAGAAATAGGCTTCTGCTTACGAGCCACAATTCTGCCTCTCTCGTCAGCTTCCTCGGAAGTGTGTGCGAGCACTCTGGTATTTTGGCGGTTATAGCTCTCTTCCAATGTGAAAATTTTTTCGTCCGTAAAAACGGTCTTCAAATGTTCTCCTTGTTCGGCCCTCGCCAGCAGCGAAAAACATTTCTCTCTTCTCTTCGTCTTCTGCCCTTCGGTCAAACCATGCCTCCTCTGCAGCTTATAAGGATAAACGTGAAGATCTCGTCTAACCACTCTCCACATGGTCATTCTCGAAACATCCAACTCTTTGGCCATCTTTCTTATACTCCTCCTGGGATTGCGGTCGACGCGCTTCTTCACAGTTTTTCTGAGCATCGAAGAAGCAGCGGACGCGGGACGGCCACATCGAGGACGGTCTTCTATTGTCCCTCTCTTCAGTGCACGGTAGACTGTGGACCGGTGCAAATTCAAGAGCCTGGCGATGTTCATAGGGGAGTGCCCGGCCTCGCTCAGTGAGAGGATAGCACTCCTGTTTGGATTTGGACGTACCATGAGCTTCAAAGTAAACGAGGAGCGCTGATATTTTACAGGCTTATTCAGAAGAATATGGAGGGACTGCCAATATATCAAACGTACGCAAAAATCAATAATCAACAGCAAAAGTGGCGCGCAAAATTTGGTGCAATATTTATGGGACACCCTGTATTATCACCATCCCCATGAGCTTCCTTTCAAGGAATGGGTATACACTCTTTTGCTTCTTTCGCTTCCCATAACACGTTCTTTCCGTATATATCATATGACGTGGTCATTTTATGCCGCTTTTGTCTCTTCTAACACAGAACGAATCTGATCATATAAAATAACAACTCACTTTTCCATTCGCCACGTATGCGTCTCGCCTCCTTTTCAACACCTTT